TTTTTTTTTTTTTTTTTTGAATTATTGCCTCCTTCTGAGAAGGGAATTTGTCGTTATCTCAACTCATTATCGTTCAGCCACCATTCAGTTCCTGCATTACTCCTATTGACAATCATCGATCTAAATTGAAGTTACTTGAACTTTTTCTTCTACCTTTCTGCTTTTGAATTTTTCTGCGCTTCCACTTTTGCGGCATCTTTGTTCTCTCGTCAGAAGACACTTTGTTTCTTAGCAAATGTTCACTAGAAAGCTATTTTTTGACTTAGGAGTCATTTTCTAGATTGCCTCTAATTTGTCTTCTTAGTGCAGCTCTCGGAATCCCCTCAGAGTTTGAGTTAAGATTATTAGGCTGCTTGATCAGCAGCGCTTAGATGTGTAGATTTTAGATCAGTGGTGAAGGCTTGACTAGAATTATCTAAAACTTTTTTGCTGAGTATTTAATGATTGTGGGAGAATTGTATTTGTTGATACGTTCTATTCGTTTTGCGTAGATGACGTTTCTGTTGTACTTTTCTTCACGTTTGGCGGAGTATATGTATCTGTTTGCAACTAATTTTACTGTTCTACTTTAAGTGTGAACGTCCACAGTTTGCTCGTAATCGGAAAAAGTTATAATGTTGACTTAATACAGTGAAAAGTTTTATTTGAAGAAATTTGAACGCATTAGGCGAAGATGTGATAGAAAATGCGCGAATTTTTTTTTAAAACTTTCAGTCATTGTAAAAAAGGAAGTCGGAATGTGCGCGAACCGTAGACATAAAATGGCAAAAAAATGCGGACAGAAAAGGTGCACTAAAAATTGGGCACCATAAACTACTACAGCTATCAAAAACGATGCCTGCTCTATACTGGTGGTTCTTTTGCTGAGTCATGTTTTCGGTATGGTAATGATCGCCAGTGAAATGTTGTATGTGAGAAAGTTAATTTTTGTGATACAAGTTTAAATCATCAGCTTAATAAGTTAAAACGTCGACTATCAGCAAAGAAACGATTTTTTGAGTATTTAAACAATAAAGATAATTAAATTGATCAGTAGGGAAAGAATAGAAGAGCTAGAAGTGTTCCTTCCTCTCAGCAGTTTATAAAACTTCTCATTTTTTAATTAGATTAATAATAGAGGTATGGTATAGTCAGCGTAGCACAACTACTTCTAAGATATCTGCAGTGTTTTTCGTATTATCTTACGTCGGATTATCTCAACCATTTCTCTCTTCCTCTCAATCTCCACGTATCAACCCTGTTGGCGCATAGCTTCCTCTTTTCCGTTGTCTCTTGGGGGTCTTCAAGCAGAATATGACTGAGGTGGTAACAAAACTGTCCTATACAAGCATTTTGTTTGTGTTTCCAAATTTAACGTTGTTTGTGTTCTAATTTCTGCAGTTATAAAACAGCGTTGCAGACTTCGCATTCCGTTTGCACTTTTTTCTAATTTTTTTTCAACCTATTAAACAGTCATGTCTGTGAATGATAAATAAATTAATCTCATCCTAGCTTTTATTTTGATTAATTTTTTGTCTAGTTGTAGGAGGGACTTGTTGCCATTTAGCAGTTATGGATAAATTTTTAAAGAGAAAGGCGACGTCACCATGTCGCACCGATGCTCGACGGATAAGTAAAGCAACTGTAAGGATTTATTTCAAGTTTACGCGGGTTAAATGGTAACTGAGTGTTTTTTAGTCTGATAACAAAGAGAACCACGCTAGTGAGCGAAGTCTTCCAGAAGATACTGTTGGCAATCTGGAAGCAACTAGCCGTCTTTTCAGTTTGGCTGGATTGGATGTTCAGGTTGGTCACCTGAATATTTCATTGTATAGTTCACCACTTTCGGTAACATTTTTAAATATTTCCAGGATGGTGTTTTTTACAGGGTGAAATACAGCAAATTGCTTTTTCTCCTTCCTTTGCTTCTGGTGACTTTAGACTGGTAGAAGTTACTCCTGCCCTCGCGGACGAGATTGTTGCTGGTACTAGTGAGTAAGCCTGTAATTCTTAATGTAAAAAAAGTTACTTGTCTTTAGCTTATAGATGACTCATA